CTTTACAACGTTGCAGTCCAGTGCTTTTACCCACCACTCTTCCACTGAAGAGTGCTTTTAGCAAGAAAAGTCAGGCTTGCTTAATTTAATAGTTAAAGGTAATCATAGGATTTTGATTTGTAACCTGATGTGTGAAGCAGGCTGGTCAGCAATCTGTTATCTGAGTTGCCAGCTTTGTGTCTTCCAGCCTGAGAAACACAAGATGCTGAGCTCAGTAATAAGGTGATAATCCCATATGGTGAGGGCTGCTCCAAAAGTAATGCCTCTTGTTTTATTATGTTGACCCATGATGTCACGAGGTGGATGTTGGTGGAATGACAGTGGAAACTGAACCTTCCCACCAATATCCCATGATATTTTGTTGCCGTGTGACAGATGGCAGCAGAGGAGCATTCTGACAGAGTGGTGTCAGACATGGAAGTGCGTATAAAGCAAAGGGGTTTTCTTCCATTTGGAAAACATGGCACTGCTGACATTCATGGGCACTTGCTGAACATTGATGGAGACTGAACATTGGCTGTTTGCACAGTGAGGCACTGGTGGTGTGTTTCAGCAGTAGTGACAGTGACAGCTGGTCACCTCTGCTGCTGCAGATTTATGAGCATGGCATGCAGCTCTTGTTTATTGCTGGCAAAAATGCACAGGTAATGGTGGTGAGTGTGTTGCAAAATAGTGTTTTGTAGCTGAGAATTTGCTCTATCCAATAATGTTATCGTGCTCTTTGCATCTGTTGTGGTTTCCATGGAAATAAATAGGAGGTATTACTTTCAGAGCGATCTACATAGTTCTAACCCACAAATCTTAAACATTTGACAAGCTTGTTGGCTCTTTTTCTTTGTCAGACCATTACAGTGAGCATTTACTGGTTTTCCTATTGCCTTTTACTATCATTTTTGCCTTTTTTTCTTCATTTCTTGAAGAAAGCACGGCTATAGCTAGCTACTGGGTTTTATAACAGGGAGTCAGGTTTTCCCCAGATGGAAAGAAGAACCATCATGGAACAATTTTTATTGAAACAAAACAAAATACTCCTTCCATTTTCAGTACAGAATATTTTGTTTTTAGTTCCTCTCTGTCTGCCATTATCTTCTATAGCCTCAGAGACCCTCCAGGGCACAGCTGAACGGGAGGTCTCCTTTATTTCTTTGCCCTGCACCCCCTCGTCCAGATGGTGGATGACAGAGGTGACTCATGCTGTCACCTCACTTGTGGATCTTATGGGAAGGACAGTGCCTGCAGCATTCTGCTGCTGGTAATTGGACCAAAGAAGCATGTGTCAGGGTTGAGTCACCATGCCCGATTACTGAAGACTCTTCCGACCCATTTATTTTCCTGTCGTTTTGTGACATGTTTAGAAAATCCTTTGCTCATGCTGTTCATTCATTTTGAGCTATTTTTCATTTTTAGGGGCAAACAAAGAATCTGCTTTTAGGTTTTGATAAAACAGTTTGAAATACCAAGAAAGAAAGTAATACAAGCTTCTGTGGTATATCTCCAAGCATACAGAAGGTTTCTTGCAATAAGCCATCAAAAACCAGAAGTGCAGAATTACATACTGTGTCAGGAAAGTCCATCCCTAGCTCAATGCTATTTCAGTTTCTCCAGGAATGGATTTGGGCTCTTAATAAGAGAAATGTTTTATCATCCTCATAACTCACGTATTCAGAATTGCTGGGCAAAGTTTAAAGTTTAGCCTGGGGGGGGGAAACAGACATATTGTAACCACTGTTTGGTTTACTGGTGCTTTTTCTATGACATCAAAGATGATTTTGCAGGGACTGCAAAATCCAGAGGACAGAGAGTTCAGCAAAGGTTGTGTTGATATAGCAAATTTTATGCATATGTCTTTGGAGATTGCTTAAGCAGACCTGAAAGATATCATTTCAGTACCCTGGGCTACTCTATAGGGATTCTACTGCATTCAGCACAGAACAGCAGCCTGCTTGTGTTGCTCTCCTTCGAGAAGAGCACTGGGTGCACAGGGAGCATAGCAGTGCTCTTAAATAATCTGGACAGTAGTCTGTGCAGCTTTTCCTCCTGTCCATCTTGCAGTCTGACGGATCGCACTTACAACATGGAACATCAAGTGCTACAGAATAGTCTCAGCACGTCTCTCCAGCTTCTCTGTAAAAGGTTAAGGGACCCAAAGGGTTTTTGTTCTCTGTGCTACGTGTATTCCTGCTCTCTTTAAGATTGCCAGAGCTCTTTTTATACTTCCTTGAGAGGTCTGACAGTGCTACAGATATGCTCTCCATCAAACCCTGACTATCCAGCACAAGAACCAGAGCATAAAGGGGAAAAGAGGAGGTTCATATAACAGTCTGGATTAAACAGCCTTCGAAGTGCTTTCTTCCCCATGAGACCTTGTTCTTTTCCCTTTTATTTGAGAGCAGTGAGGTGGACCTTGCCCATGACATCGGTTGCTGCCCTACATACAGTGTTAATTGCTAGGAATGTTTTTTAGTGAAAAACAGCTATTCTTTCTGCTTTCATTAAGTCAGATGGGATGAATATAGAATATATCCCATATCCCTCCTTTAGTAATTTAACCATATCTTTTTTTTTTTTTTCTTTTAATTTGATTTTTTTCCTAATGGGCACCATGGAGTGGATGAGAAACACAAAGGCTGTTTGACACAGATGGGAGGAAAGATGTTCTGTGTGCCTAAGGGATTGGTACAGATGGTCAATTGAATCTTTGGCCATCATCAGAATGCACTGGTCTATGGAACTGGGACTCTGGAGAAGTCACCTGGAGCGTGACTTTTGGAATGCAGGTTGTCACAGAGCTGCTGCAGCCCCGAGGGGCTTGGCCACATTTTCACTTCTCTCCTGTGAGTTATGAGACAGGAGAACGAAATGCAAAGAATGCATATGGAGAGTGCAAAACTTATGCTCTGCAGTCAGGTGGAAAAGAAAAAAAGAAACCTAGAGTAGTGGAGGCAATTGCATCTACAGTTGCTGAAAGGGTATAAAGCCTGTACTTCTCCCACCGATAGGTAATATGGAGCACAGGGACTCCACAGGGACTCCCAGACGTAGATGATTTTGCTCACTTGGAACATACTACCAGTAGTATTTTAATGCAATGGCATTAGCTTTTGGAGTTTCTTGAGAAGGCAGAGAGCCAAACTGAGGCAGTGAAGTAATAGCATCTTTCAGATCTTTCCAGAATGGGGCCCAATCTTCCTCAAAGGAAAAAAGTAGAAACTCACTGTTCTCTTCACTAGTTGAGGGTCTGACCCTCAGCTATTTGAATACAGCAGTTCAGCAGTGAATGTTTCTTGCCAAAAACTTCTTTCCGTTAATCACGGCCATTTTCTTCAAATATATTAACACTCATTATATTAAAATGACACCCAAATGGCATGAACATTGAATGAATAAGGAGCTGCGTGGCTTGCTCACTTCCCAGCACAGTTTGAATACTGATTCTGTGAGGGGACAGTGTTTAAGATTGTTAATTGATAGGAGTCATTTCAGTACCATTTAGTATGATGGATCTCAAAAGTAAAAAAAGGCTTTGCTTGTGATCAGTATGAATATGAGGAGTCCAAGTAAGAAAAATCCTTTGTATTAAGGTCTCTGCTGCCAGGTGTGCTGAACATACATGGCAGTGAACCATGGGCTAGCCTTGAGGATAACATGCTGATCTTGCCAATAACAGCAAGCCTTGTAAGTCAGGTGCATAGCAGGAGTGCAATGCCTTGAGAGACAATTAAACTTTTATTATCTCAGTGACTTCTGGAAGTCCAGAACAGTGCCCAAGCCCCTAAATCAGGAGGTTAGCAATAAAGAATTTTATGAGAGGTATTTCACTGTGACATCTGGGGAAGAGAGAAGTAAAAAAGATACTAGAAACAGGTGTCCTAGCACAATGAATGGAAGGGAACTGGCAAAATGGAGTTGATCAAAGCAGCAAGTAAGACAAGGATCAGCACGATCTACTAACATGAGCAAAGCATCTGAGGGCCGGCTCCCCACGGAGACCTGCATTCCGTGCAGGGGAAGCGGGGAGAATAAAAGTTCTTAGGTTGTGATTAAAATCTGATTCGTGTCAGACACACCTACTTTTTCCACTTTTCACTTAATTCTGTAATTTGACTGCATTATCCTTTGTGCACTCGCTCATTCTTACTCACATGCTCTAATACCTCAGGTTTCCTATCTTGGAATAACATTGTGACAACCCAAGCTCTGATAGAACTTCAGCTTCCTTTGGGTGCTCAGGCAACAGGCAAACCACCCTTCAGGCACAGAGTTATAGAAGAATGACTCACAGATCCGGGCAGACAAGGATAATATCAGTGACAGCTGAGTTGAAACATGTACAGTTAATTAAATGGGCTCTTTTTGTGCTCTTTATGGTGTGATTTCCAATGGAACCCCATGATGAAGTCCTCAGAACAAGTACATGAGCCTTGGCTGCCAGTGTGACTCAAGCAGTAAAATACAACTCTTGCTAGAAAGACAGTGCTGAACCTTGCTAACTTCAGGACTAAGTTAGTAAGGTCACAAAGAAAATTAGTAGTGGACTGTAAAGCTCATTCTGGCTGTGCCAAATACCACACCAGCTTCTGCTGCCCCTTTCCAGGACCACTGCTGCTCTCCCTCTTGCCATTTTCCCAGTGAAAATTGTTGCTGCAATACATGCAGCATAGCACACCAGTTTTCCATAACTATTAAATATATAGAGATACCTGCTCTGTAAAGTTTGATTCAAGATACAACTAAAATAATCTGCAGTGACAAGTTTGACCTCCGTACAAATCAGTAAGACAAGTAACCAAAGGCTCAACAGCAAAAGCTGTACTGTTGTCCATATCTGTTACAGCTGGTGAATGAACTGTGTAAGAATCCCAAGGTTAAAACCCAGCCCTTCAATCTGGTACACGTCCCAGGAAAGGAACAGTACCACATACTCATATGAGATCCATCTGGTTTTGTCAACACGGGATGGGATTTGCATGTCTCTGACTGTGCTTTTTCTCTTTCTGCAGGATGGATGACATTCAGCTGTGCAAAGACATTATGAACCTTAAGAAGGAGCTGCAGAGCTTGGTAGCTATCCCAGGTAATGGCTGTCTCTAACTCAGTATCAGGATAATGCTTGGGCAATGCAGGGGATGGTTTCAGGAGCACACCTCTGCTCTTAGTGCAGACCTCCCTCAGAAACCTCCCCCCAGGACTGTTTTGTATAGTCTCTTCATATATTTCCTTCTTCCTCTGGTCCTTATTTTTATTTCTCTTTTCCTTCTCATCTTTAATCTTCTGTCGTCCACAGTTGTTTTCATGCTGTATTTCACTGCTCCCTTGATGGCAAACCTGCAGATAACACTCAAATGAGGTGCACGTTCCCTTGCTCTTGCACTCCCTTGGGAATCTCAAGGGAACCAACCAGCATGGAGATGGTCAAGCAGAAAAGACAGAGGGCTGAGATAACAGGAAGAATGGAGGTCTTAAAACCATTACTGTGAATGAGAGATTTTTTCCTAGATATTCGTTGTCACAGCTGTTGTTAAATCTGCCTTCCAGAGTAAAAAGAAACAGGTTTATACAAAAAGCAAGAGGCAAAAGCATGCTTTGCATTCTGTCTTAAATTTACTGCAAATACATCGCTCAGAGAAGGACTGGAGTTGTGTGCAGTTTTACAATCCTCACATCCAAACTCCAGCTGAAATCAATGAGAAGTTGTGCTTTGCTACAGCTTTGCTGTTTTAGATCATCCACAACAGTCCTGCTCTGCTTGTTTTGCAGATGGATTTTGAAAACACTGGGAGGCTTCACCAGGCTATCTACATTACACTCCACATTTTTAGCACCTCTCAGATGTAATCTGTTGCCACCTCACTGCGAAGGACTGGTTTTCACATTCCTTTTGTTATGCTCACCTCCTCCCCCTGCATTTTATTGTGCAGCTTTAAACAGTATTCTCCCCTGGAAGGAGAGAAAAGGTCAATCATGAAATAAAAAAGAGGTCCATTTTTCTCTCTCTGAGCCCACATATTCTCATTTAGATAAGAACTCTTCCACTTTGCTCTCAACAAACCATGTTGCTTGTATTCCCCTTCTTTACACTTCTTAGTGACTTAGAGGTCACACTGGATTTGTAGCAACTGTTGGTACGTGGTTGGTTTTTCAACGAGGTGGGAAAGGATTACGAGTGATGAAAAATACCTGTGAATGAGTACCCTTGCCTCACCTCTTCCGGTCTGCAATTTTCTCAACCCCTTTATCTTCTACCTAACTCCTAGGGTTAATCAGTTTGAGGGTTTTGACGCGATAGTCTGTTTGTTTTTCCCAATAACCTTCTTGAAACTATTTTCCAGTCACAAAGCGTTAAGCAGGAATCAACAGACAGCAGTTTCTCCTCAGCACTACGCAGATATCAGCAAAAGTTCAGAATTTACATCTGAGCAGTTCCAGCAGCACCACCTTTTGGCAAGAACACTTTCACCTTAACAAAGGCTGTGCTGGCATTGCCACAAGACAGAGTGCTTGCATAGCATGTAGCTAACCTGGAGAAAACACCTTCCGGAAATGGGTTCATTCATAGCACCTGAATCAGAATTTTCCTTTCACTACAGATCCGCACAGGGCCCTGCTCTTTGGATTCAGTGGGCTGTTAGCCAATGCAGGCAATGTGAGGCTTTGAGTTTACGGTACTATGCCACAATACAGGATGCACGCATTTCAGGCATTTGGCAGCTGGTTTTCTAAGGAGAGGAGGGGATGGGAGAGCACGTTTCACAGTCCATGAAGAGGGCAGATGGAAAGAAGTGGAAAGTAGCTCCTATTATCAGCAGTGTAAAGAGAAGATGCCTTGTTACCAGATTTCATTTTACAATGGCCCTGTCTGTCATGAAATAGAGAGAAATTGTTCCTTTTGGAGTGTTCTCATTTTCCCTGAGATTAAGAGGAGCTGGTGTACTTTAATGAAGAAAAATGGACCATATATTTTTTTTTCCTGTTACTGGAGGCGTTGGGGATTTTCGGTTCTTGGTTCTTTGTTTTAAAGCCAAAACACTTCTTTAAAAAGATAGCAAAACAGCAGAGTAGCACCTTATAGAGTAATTTAGCATTAGAAGTAATAGCCTTGACAAGCCTTTCACAAAGACCGTAGTGCACTAACTGAACAAAAACAAGAGATGGTAAGTAGAAGAAAGGAGGCAGCAGACAGAACTGCATGGTTCTGCAGTCACGGACTTCCATCACCAAAACATTCTTAGGCAGCTGCAGTTCCCCTGCCCAGCTTCCTGGAACCTGAAGTAACAGCCTTTTTCTCCCTGCCCTATTTCTGACCAGAAAAAGAAAAAACAAAGATGGAGAAACAAAGAGAAGATGAACTGATTCAGAAGATTCATAGACTGGTGCAAAAAAGAGATTTTCTTGTAGATGATGCAGAGGTGGAGAGATTACGGTAAGAACTAAAAGCAACCAAATTCATGCTGAAGATTCCATTAGCCTAATTCTGCACTGGATAAGTGAGAACACTTATACTGCCAAGAGAAAATTGGTCTTTTAAAACCTGTTACCAAATTAAAGGCTTCTGCCTTATTCTGTGGAAAAAAGGAAAACAAAAAACTAAATTACTGCACTTCTGCTCTCCATGCCAGAAATGTCTTAATTGACATCCCATGATGACAGAGGAGTTCAGACATTTTCTCATCAGAATATGACTGGGCATTTACCATTACAAACGGAAGGATTGTCACTGCTGCCAGAGGATCTTATCACTGGCAGTGCAGACACCTCAATTATTATCAGTGGTTTTTTTAAATACTGAGTTTGCTCTCATTATTCCTTCCCTGTTGTAGCATTAAAAAAAAAATAATAAAATAAAATGGAAAGGCAATTGCTAATTTAGTTCTACCTAACCTAAATGATAAGCGAGTTGGGAATCTCAGCCCAGAGTCAGTCTTCTTATACAGCTGACTTTGAGCTGCTGCACTGAGTTCCAACATCACATAAATAGTCAGGATTTTCCTGTTTCTTCCCCTCCTCTTTAATTCCGCAGTAATGATTCAAGGCTCCATCAGCCCATTTAGCGTGGATGACAGTATCTACTCCAACACATTGCAATTCTAAGCAGGCAAAGGACCAGGGGGAAGAGAGCTTGCCAGTCCTGCAGTTGATTAAAGAGAGCAGGCCAAAGGCAGCAGGCTGACAAAAAGCCTGAGCTAACAACATAATCCAGAGCTGATTCTATGTGCAAATTGCAAATGCTGGCAGCAGCCAGACACTACAGAAGCCTAATTGTAGGCTTCTGAAAGCATAGTGCCATGCACTGTGCAGATGTGGCTATATTGGCGTTGATTGACAGTTGCAGTAATACCTGATGCTTTGCTTTAAAGCTTTGGACAATAAAGTCTGTTTTTGCTCTGAAATACTCCAACAGTGCTCCCACTGTTAGTGTTTAAATAAGTTAGCAGGGAAACTAAAACAAAAACATCCTTATTAGAGGCTATCGAGGACAGTGACATCATCTTGTACCCAAGATAATATTGTGGCCTTCGTGGAAACAGAAACATACTTTGTTTTGGTGAAGACTGTGCCAGGGGAAGAATGTAAGATCTCATTTTGTTTAAGTTGATGTTTAAATTAAGCATGCTTATATCCTCTGCTTTATTTTGTAGAGGAAGGATGGTGAATGACTTTGAGGCCATCTTAAAATTGATGATGCTTTATGGTTTAAATCCTCTGATCAGAGAATATAGCAAATCCAGCACTGTTAGTAAAGAGCTTTGGGGAAAAGTTTCTTTGAATTCAAGAAGAGACTCATGCATGTTTTCATGTAGGCAACTACTGTGCTTTAATAAGCAGCAAAAAAAATATGTTTTTGACAAGAAGAAAGCCCCTCATTTAGTAGTGATTTGATCACAGCTGTTATGCCTTTTACTGTCCTGTTCACCAACAAAGTGTAGTCTAACATACTTCTTTTTTTCAGAGAGAAAGAAGAAGACAAGGAGATGGCTGAATTCCTCCGCACCAAGTTAAAACCCTTAGACAAAGCAACACAGTCTCTTACCAGTGAGTTCCTGAACATTAAGAAAAATAATAGGAATTATCTCAAGGACAACTGGATATAAGGGTGTATCAATGGATGTTGGGCCAACCACTGCCAAATCTAGACTACAGCCACTTAGAATTTGGATGCCCAGTTACCCCTTAAAACTGAATCCACTTCAGGTGGTTTTTTACATTTTAAATATGCAAACTATATTGGTTTATTACCACAACCTGCTTTTGTAAGCAACTGGTTGTTGGTGTTATTTTTTGCCTCCAATTATTTTCCCTTCTAGTTTCACAAAGAAGTCTGGAAAACCCTCATAAGCAATATGCTGGGTATCTGAAGTCAAGACTGTCTGGTTTACAGCTGGCAAGATTATAATTGCAAATTTATTTATTTATTTATTTATTAATTTCCACAGCTGCCCCAAGTCTCCTGCATCTTACCACCAAAAATAAACTTCAGTCAACTCACCCAAATTGATTACAGATAGTACTACAAACACACACATTTCCTGATCCCTGGGAAGCTTTTAGTTCCAATTTTCACACAGAATTGTCACAGCAGGAATTTTAAAAGGAATTACTAGATTGATTTTCACCTGTCAGACATGGAAATGGTTAAGTGAGAGCAGTGTCCATGGATGGTAAATTCAGTCCAAAGCTGAAGAGGTTAGTACCCAAACACCACCACTTTGCATAGATCAACAGCTTGCTATAGAACATTCAGGAAAACATGCAATGACTGAAGTGTGAGGTTTGCAGAAACATTTTCAAGACCCATCACTAATTTTTATCCTTTTAGCATGACTTACCTTCACTGTTAGTTTATTTTGTGTTTATTAAATACAATGTTAGTGTTGTAGTTTTTTTCAACCCCCCAAAAATGAAAGCCTGCCTTTTTCTTGTTCTCGTAGGTAGGGCATCCAAGTTTAAGAGAATAAACTTTACTAAGATTCTTATTCTTCAGCTCTGTGTTTAGAGATGCTCAGTACAGTAAGTGGCTCCCTGTGGGAGGACCTTTTATCTAACCATGCACGTGTGAATATGAGTACCTGGACTGAACAAGATGCAAGCAGCTTACCCTTAGGGATGTCTGGATTCTTTAACCCTTCCTAGTTCCTTCCTCAAAATGGATAAGGCATCTTGAATAGTATCACTGAAACAAATTTAAAAGGTTTGGAGGTAGATGGGGAGAATAATTAGTTATATACTTTAAGCCAGAAGCAGGAAGGAATAGCTTGATTGTAATAGTGTCCTGTCTTGAACACTGCAGGCAGCCCAACAGAAAAGAAGGCAGAACCTCCTCCAAGCAAGCCCGCCATTGCCAAGGCAGGATTGGCCATCATTAAAGATTGCTGTGGAGCCACACAGTGCAGCATCATGTAGCTCTGGGCTCTCTACCGTGTTTGTTGTCTTTTCAGAGGTTTTCACTGAAGGAAACTGTAGGGTAGAGGCATCTAACAGCATCCCACTAAATGAATGAAGATCAACTGTGGTGCAGCTGTAACACATGGAATGTACAATGGCAGGTTCTTCACTGTTGCATGGATCACTCAACACGCATGCCTAAAAAAGCAAGAAATCCATATAGTGGCTGTCCAGTGACCAGAAGAGATCTGTAATAGCGTTAACAAAAATATCCCTGTGATAAAAGTGAAAGAAGTTTCATCAAGTAATGTGTAAAAAAGCAATTTTAGTAGGTCACTTCATAAGAATTTGTTGTATACCTTTCTCCTCTCACAAACAACACTCAAACATTTGCTGGAATATTCTGTTTTGGCTACTTTTTAAAATAAGAGCCACAAATAGCACTGCAGTATGTAAGACAACTGATAGATTAAATTAAACAATTTTAGGGTAACTGAAGTTACATGCAAAATAATCATCACATTAGCTTGTAAGTTAACTACTTTGCTGTGAAGTTTCACTTGGAATTGTTTCTCAAAACTAAATGTCAGTAACAAGAATGCTGCAAGCAGATATAGATCTTATACCCTCTGATTTCTGAGTTACTCAAAATATGCTTTCACTGGGAAAAGTAAGTCTTGGTAAAGCTCTAGAAAGCACAGCTACAGCGATTGGTATGTAAAGGATTATTCCAGCTGTCTGATTTCTCTCATAGCTCTTCACAGAGTCAGAGGGGTAATTGCAAAATTTTTTGCCTACTAAAGTTGTATGCATTATGAGATTACCTGCCAGTGGTGGGCTGCTGGGAGAAGAGCTGAACACACCAACACAGAACCAACATTTAACTAATAGCTTAAAACCAACTATTAATTGTGTAATTAATGACCATGAGAAATAGAAGCTATTAAGTGTGGGGAGACATTAGCTACCCAATACAAATTGGCCACAAGACAAATATAAAAATACAGAAGCAGACACTTGTGGTATGAAGATGATCACATTCTACACAAAATAGGTTGAAAATTAAGGGCAATACAGAAAGACTTGTGTGTTTCTCCATTTAATGCATTTCTGGTCTCTATGCAGATTAAAACTTGTAGAATTTAATATTAGCTGTCAGTAGCTGGTGTGTGACTATGTGTATTGTGATAGGTGTAAATAATAAAATAAATGTACATGATACAATGTGAAAACAATCTCAGGCTTAGAAGTAACAAACCGATAGCAAAAGTCCTTCAAGTAAGAAAGTTTTAAAGAGTAGCTTCAACTTTGCAAAACCAGCCAAGTTAAATGTGCACTTGTATGCAAAAGAACCACAAAAGTATACAAAAGTTATGCATAAAGGGGAAAAATACCAACAGCAGAGCTACCCAAAAAGAATAGACACGTTTTTAGAGAAAGTATCTTACCAAGTTTTGAGGAGAAACACCATCAAAAGTAAATCAATATGTTCTTGTACAAATTAAAAACAACTCTCTAGAATTGGACTGGTTCAATGAAGAACATTTGCATTTCCAGAATCACTGCAGACTCGCTTGTGACGCAGGACTGGCAGTGACAAGATCCTTAAATCTTAAGGGTTGAGGAAGAAATAACACCAAAGGCTTCCACTAAGACATGAAGCACATTACATACTTTGTTCAAAGATGTGGAAAGAAAACACGTCCAAGGCTGAATGGTCAGATACAGTTGGACACCCTTGCTGATGCACAACATATAAGGCTCTGTAGCTGTTAACAGCTACTCTGTCTGGTATGAATTGGAGGCTGTATAGCACCCATGTTCTTATGGGAGTTCTGGGTGGAACTGCTTTGCCTATAGGGGAAAATACACTTGGGAGGGCAAGGAACGACCACTGACTTCTGGTCAGTTCAGCAGAATTTGCTGGTACCCTATTAAGATACTGATAATTCCTGATGTCTTAAGGTATAGATGTGTGATATCACAAAGTCAAAGGGAAGTTGAAAAATTACACCTTCCAGGGAAGCCTTAGAAGGGTCCACTGTTACAATCAAGTATTGCAAATGCCAGTAAGTGAAGGGATTCACATACAGGTATCAGAAGACAAGAGGTGACTTAAGAACATGAGTTTAAACCAGGCTGTGCTGATGACCAGGATATGTCCTATGTGCCACACAGCTGCCTACCACCACTCCCTTAGAAAGAAAAAGCAATCAGCAAAACATAGGTCTGTAATTAAAATTTCACTGACATAAAATGAAGCTACGCAGCACTGGGATTCAGCAGGCATGACTACAAAGCTCTAATTAAAATGAAGCAAAAGCCCAACAAATGTGGACATGATATGCCCTGAGGGACTTGATAAACAGCAGTATTAATGAAAGTAAACTTTATTTCCAGAAGCACTTGCCTTAGCTGAAAGGTTTTCCTTATGTGGCTCCTTTGGATGGGGAGCTCGCAATGCTGTTCCACAGTGAAGTTATTTTCTTTAAAAAAAAATAAAAAAATAAAAAAGAAAAGGCTGAGCTCTCAGCTGGGGTCAGCAGCACTGGTGTACAGTGTTGTCCATCCAGGACACAGCAGAGCCCTGATGGTTTGCTTCAAACAACAGCTGTGATTGAACAAATTAAACTTGGGAACTGTGGAGAAATCTTGGTCCTTGTGTTAAGAAATGAGACAAAAATACAGTACTTACCCTCAAGTATCATAGCTTCCGTAACCCAATGAATACAGAACAGTGTGCACACCCCCCCCCAGTTCAAAACCAGCAGAAAACTTGAGACAAGAACATGTAGGTGGCCACACAGCACACCTGCCAACATTTCAGAGCCAGTTCTCCAATGCCTGTGAATGGTCTGCAAAAAGGAAATCTGTTTGACCAAAGCATGTAAAACCTTTTCTTGAAGTTCTGGCTGTTCATCCAGCCAAAAAGGCAGCAAGGCATCAGAGAGAGGAAAATTGGAGGTAGATTAACACTTCTCTGTGAGCTGGTAAACGTGGCTAAGCTCTGGGAAGGATCTCAGTTTGCAACAGAAAAAGTGACGAAGTGCTATTTGTACTGATCAGTAGTTCTACCAGCAAATGGTTCTCTTGTACCCTTCCCCTAGGTCTGCTGACTGTTCAGCAAAGTTAAATGTATTTCCAAATAAACTAAGCTGCTGTATTATACTAAGCATGTGTTGTTTTGTTCTTAATACCGAAGGAAGTGGTTGTGGGTTACAGTGGGATGCATTCACCATGCTGTACTTTTCAAAACAAAGATTACTGTTCTGCAAGAAAAAGGATTTGCTAAGTTAGTACTGCCAATGAAATGGTTCTTACTGAGAAAAAAGAAGTTCCTCCAGCAGGCCCCACAGGAAAGCAAATAGTTAGCCAGTGTTGTGACTGTCCCAGACAGCTTTGAAACCTCACAGCAGCCTGCAGCTCCAAGCCCCACATTTGGAAAAATAATGGTCCCAATAGAACTGGGTATCATTCCAACAAAATCCAGTTCAGCTCAACAGAAAGCTTTGAACATAACCCTGCAGCCCAACTGAGGAATGTCTGCTCAAAACCAGCAATACATGGGGAGAGAGATTGTACCATCCAGACTTCCTCTGCCCGACTGTCCCAATGACTGCAGGTTACTCACGACTTGTTACCCAAGATACAAGTTCCCAAGTTCTTTCAGGAACACTTCCCCTCATCCTCCAAAATGAAACAGCAGTTTACTTATTTTTCAAGAACACTGCACACACCAGCATCACGCCCCATACAGCTGCAGGCCGATCTGCAGGGCTGAAAGTACTTGGGCACGCCTTCACCGTTGTGGGTGATTAAGTTCACGTGTGATTCAGTTTTTCGTCACGCTTCATGCCCTCTCACACAGACATAAGAGCACACTTCCATTTGCAGCCGTGCAGACAGTTAAGGAGAACAGTTCTCCCAATATTCTACTCAGTTTGATCTCAAGCCATGCTATTGGCACTACAAGGCACTTACAGCTGACTGAAGTCTACTGCTTTAAATGAGTTAGAGCTCATTCTACATGAGATATAGAATTGCATCCTCAGAGACATGGTCCCGACTCTGAAGCAGCTAGTTTTGACTTGAATTTCAAAGGCAGCTAATGAATAGCCAGAGTTAACTCTTGGCAGCAAAACTTGAGGGATTTCAGACTTCTTACAGTGGGTAAGACTAAAAGTTCCAGCTGAGAACAGAACTATTTGGTTCTAGCTGGAAATTAGTCTCAGTGGCAAACTGTTAATACGCGTTTCTGATCATGAATGTATTTGAGAGGAATTTGAAGGTTCGAAGAACTTCAACTTTAAAGCTTCTCTCTGAATTCCTTTCACACGTTGTGTTTATACTACTCTTAAAAAGTCACTAATCTGCAATCCAATAAGGTGCTGCTAGGTCTTGCTGCAGAATGACCTCATTATCCCAAATCTTCTGGCAACAATTTCAGTCCTTGTCTGAGAGTTCTGCCCTCACACTTAAGCTTAAATTTAAAGACCTATGCAGATAAAGGTATCTGTACTTCCAACAATTCTAAGTACAACCTGCATTATCAGGCTTCTGACTGCTTACAGCTAAACTGATCAAATCAGTAAGGAAAATAAATGCAACATCAGTAGAAATTAACTAAAAGGAAAACATGCTTTCCATTAGATAAGTATTCTAGGCTGGATTAGTAGAGCAACTAAGAAGGGTCTTAACAGATTCTTCTTATAGGGAGCATTTCTTACTCTACACGAAATGCTCAGAAATAATACCTTCAAGTATCACTGTTTGCTTCCTACATCAAAAAAAAAGCTCTTGTTATTCAGATTTAAGTTTTACTTTCTTCATTCACATGATTCTAAACATGAACACAGTCCGTACAAGAACACTACATTCACTGTAGCAGTGCACGCTGGAAAGGATTTGGCATTCTACCACATCCTCTCAACAAATACTAGAACACTGTAGAAGAGTAAGATCTTTAGTTACCTCAGCTGCACACATCTGCACAATGTAGCACACCATATTGTATATATACACACACATCAGTAAAACGTTGACTTGAGTACATCAGCACCCTTCAATGGGCACACAGCACCCTGAACTGATAGCTGGGCCAAGCATTGAAGTCATTCAAAGCCAGAACTGACCTCTAGTTTTCAAAGGCACAAAAGAAATAAAGTATTCCAATTGCAAAAGTTTAGTTGCAAAGACACAAGGCTTTTCAAGTGCAAGGCAGAAGAAATTGACAAGATTAAGAAGCCAACAGGGTTACTTACCAGACTGATAAGCGGGCTTCACTGATGGAAACACTCTTCGGCCATTCACTTTTCTGTAAGCGGCTATCAAAGCTAAGCAAGGCTGGGTAGCTCAGGTTCAATCCACACCACACCACCCAGAACCAAACCCCTGAATCTGTCTAGAATACAGACAGTACTGTCATTTCTTGGCCAAATTATTCCACACTGTACCTGAAACAGAGTTGGGGGCATCAGGCTTAGCTGCTATCTCCAACTCTGACCTTATGCCTGTATCTTGTTGTGATTTCTAGACATGAAGAGAAATGAGTTAAAGCACAGCTCACCATGCAATTGCATTATTAAAAGGCAAAAAAGCAAATCATTCTGAAATAGTTAATTTAATCATAACTTTAATTGATTTAAACAGACGACAAGAGAATGAAGATGAGAACATTCACAGCAAGAAAAACAAAAATCAAACTCACCTTTTGCAGTTAAACACGTAATGTGGCATGAGGATTTTATTCACATAAAAACATTCACAACTACCAAAAGAGTGAAGTTAGAGCAGTGACAGCACGATTTGTCTGTAGTGTTTCTTATGCTTTAGATAAAGTTCTTACCACTTTCCCACTCCTCTTTTTGGAGAAAGGTGTTTATTACACTAATTATGTTGTGTTAAACACCTAAGCAGTTACTTTAAAACTGTTGACTGAACAAGTATCCTATGAGGTCAAACAACCATTCACTTGGGGCAGACATTTACTCTAGCAGAAATTCCTTTTGACAGTTCCATTAATGAATGTACATAGATCTCATGCAGCTCTTTACTTTTGTCCATAAAAAATGGGATGTAATAATCCAATTTAGTTGCATATTTTAACTACTTGTTCAAAGCTGTCTAGTGAAGCAGCAAAACAACTTCCATGCCAAACTTGTAGCTCCTGGTTAACTACCATCCTCAGCAAGCTAGAAGACAAGGCTGTTTTACCCAAAAAGAGTGGATAACTTTAATGCACAGCAAGACGTCTTACTAGTTGGATCTGTACTACATTAATCACATCTCTATCTTAACATTTCAAAGTGAGATTAAAACTTAAGAGAACATCTATTTCTTTCTATCTGTTCCATTTATACTTTGCTCCTTTTTTCCCTTCAGAACTCTTAGAAGAGGTTCCTTCAAAGAAGCAGCCATAAGTGATGCTGATGAGGAACAGGAAGAATGACTAAGTGCATCTAGTAATAGCAGAACTGCAAGTGTTGAAACACTCATTCTCCAGAATAGATTACGGACTCCAGGAATTTCTCTTTCATTGTCATCGAGCCTCAGAGTCAGCACTCTGCTCTGTCTGGATAATTAAACACTGAGTAAGAGTGAATTAAGGACTTCAGAACAGTTTATCTTTTTTCCCCCTCTATTTCTTCAGAAAAGGACAAGAGTTATGCTTGCTTGAAAATTTTATTGACACAACTGTTTGGTCCCAACACACAAAACAGCACTTGAGCCACAAAATAAAGTGTCCAAACAAAGTAGACAGCTAAGAAAAGAATTTCTTCTCCCTCCCACTCCAAGAAAAAGATAGTGCATAAATTGAGGGCTTCAGTGACAATTTTCTTTTTCTTTTTTTTTTTAAACAGACATGAATTTGAAGTAGTACATTTAATTGTTAAAGAACTTCATGGTTGTAATACTTTTAAATCTGTAAGTCACATCATTCATTTAACCCTTTGGATAAAAAAATATATTGCAATTCAAATAGCTATTTTGTTACACTATGAACACAACTTCTCAAAAGTATTATTCTATTACTTTCAAACAGCAATTTCATCAGAATCACATGAACCCAGAAAAGATATGCTGACCTCCAAAAATGGTTCAAACCAGACTCACTTTGACAAATCATCTTTTTCTCTGAAGCAAAGAACCGGTTCTTCAGTATTTTAGATAACTTGGAGCTGCAACTTATGAAAACATTTTTTCTCCAACATATGTTCATCTGAAACAAAAATCTAAGTGCTCAGCATCAACTTCATCAAACGTAAGGTGAAAGCAGATATTCTCGCATTTAACTCAAACTTATTAAAAGCATTCCAAGAAAGCTTACTTCTAAATTTCACTTTCCATAGCAGGATGTCTGCAGAGATTTACTAAGGACTCAGATACTGTGCCACAATGCTCAGAAAAACTTCCAAGTGTTTCTCTGCATTCACAATGGCTATAAATTTATTACAGGTAATGAGAGTCTAAATTTAAAAGATTTTATAACAAAATCCAACTAGTAAAATTCTGTCTATAGCCATTATATTCAGTGGCATTTCCTGTTGCTGGCTGAAAAATTAGAGCCCATGTTCATTCCTTGCATATTACAATAGAATCCACCTTAAGAAAAAAAAACAGTTGGCCAGTGGGATCCCTCAGGTACAGGTTCTTTCAATACATCAAGCAATTTATTTGCTGCCTGGCAAATACAACCCATTGTAAATGCCATGGTTACCCAGTATGGGTATGAAGTCTCACACACTGCTAACTAGAGTTGAGGTCATCCACTGACTTAATCTCTCTTCCAAATCTGGCCCTTTGAAAAGCCAACACAGGATACCACAAATTGAAAAAAGCTTCTGACACTAGGAGTAAGTTTCAGAATAAAAACAGACACAGCTAAAAGACAGCACACTGAAGAATAAGCTTCCCATTTACCAAAGATGCTTAAAAATTGAAAATAAGGTTAAGCAGAACAACCTTAGATTTTCCACGTGTAGTTAGAACTTTCCTTACAGGTGAAAATAGCATCAATACCTTCCAGCACAAAACATTTTAATAGGACCTGCTCCACTATCTGTCATTTATGCATTCAATGCATATTTCAGAAATATCAGAATCATCTTAACTTCATTACTAGACACAGTAAAACGTGTGTCTGTATCTCAAACTCATGACACCAAGACAGTC